ACCTCAAAATACCATGACAATGGCTTTCACAAGGAGAACCCACAACTCAGCCCCAAACACCTCACAAACAGAAGCTCACACTCAGAAATGGTATGCCAAACCCACTCACACAGCCCACCATTCAGTGTTTGCAAGGAAGAGGAGAAGAAATCAAGAGTAAAAATGATGTCTTTGGTGTTTACAAGCAAAAGACTCAAGCCATGAAGGGAGAGGAAGGTGGCATCAAGGTGGAGAGCTCCCTATCAGAAATGGCTCACGTAGAAATCTGAGTATGGCCTAGGGTTTTGGGCCAAAAGATATATTTATAGTCCGGTTAAGATTAAACACACTGTATTAGCGCTAATTGCTACGCTTAGCATTTTAATCCCAAATTTAGGATTCTGAACCTACTCATTTTTCTAAGATTTGTCATATTTTTATTTTATTTTTTGCAGGGGGTACGCGCTTTTCCATAGCCAGTATCAGTTCTGGCACCAGTCCTCACTATTTCGACTTGAAACTTGTTTTGCTAGTCCTATATATTATTCTAGAAATATTCATGCACTTATTATAATTTTCTGGGATACTTCACCGGTACGCATTTATACCGGGTATCAGAACCGGTATCTGCACTTTTTGTCAGAAAAGCGACTTTCAGTATTTTTACTCACTTATCATAATTATTAAAACCTCATAATAATTATTAGGGTCAATTGTGAAATTATTTCCTAATTCTCATATTTAATTAATTAATATCATTAATTAACGGTGCAGGTTCTTACATTTTTCGTTCAAAATTTCGATGGGAATGTGTTCTGACGAAAATTTCGACGAAAATTGTTTTGAGGGAAATGTTTCATTCGAAACTTTCTACGAAATTTAGATTCTCTAAACAAATTTTGACAGAGTATTTTTTCGTCAAAATTTTTTATCGAAAAATTTTTTGTCAAAATTTTCGTACAAATTTTTGACAGAAATGTGTTCCGTTGAAAGTTTTGATGGAAATATTTTTTATCAAAAAACTTGACGAAAATATTTAGTCGAAAATTTTCGATGGAAATGTGTTTCGCTAAAAATTTTGACGAAATTTTTTTTTTGTCAAAAAGTTTAACGAAAATGTTTCCGTCGAAAACTTTCGCCGAAATTTGAATTCTGTAAAGAATTTTGATGAAATTTTTTTCCGTCAGAAAGTTTCTATGGAAATGTGTTTCGTCAAATTTTTTGATTAATATATTTTTTTGTGAAATATTTTGACGAAATTTAGATTCCGTAAAAAAATTTGAGAAAAAAAATTTTTCGTCAAATTTTTTTACAGAAATGTTTTTAGTCACAAATTTTGATGAAAATTTTTTTCGTCAAAATTTTTTGCGAAAAATATTGATGAAAATATTTTCCGTAAAAATTTTTGACGTAATTGTTTTATGTTAAAACTTTTTTTAATGTAATTGTGATTTCTTTTTCTTTTTCTTTTTCACATAATGGGTATGGGTCAAGTCTTGGGTCAATGGGTAATTATTAAAATAAGTCAGGTCTAAAACTGACTCAAATAAAAGTGGGAAAGGATATTGTGACAACCAAGTTGTGTTACTACCAAGTGACTACCAATCAATCTTACCGTTAGATCGATTATATTAATCCAACGGTTATATTTATTTCCATCTTTGTATGGTCATGATTCCCCAAATTTAATACTTTATATTTATTTTCACCTTTGTATGGTTATGATTTCCCATATTTAATGCTTTCACTTTAAATATGGGGAATAAAGACCATACAAAGATGGAAATAAATATAACCGTTGGATCAACATAATCGATCTAACGGTGAGATTGATTGGTAGTCACTTGGTAGTAACACAACTTGGTTGTCACAATATCCTTCCCCAATAAAAGTAGGTTAGTATTTAAACCAGTTCAAAAAAAATAGGTATTTGTGAGTCAGGTCAAGGTCAGATCAAGTGAACTAGTCTTTTTGCACATCCACTAAGAATCACTTTGATGAAGGAGAAGAATTTTTGTGGTCCAAACCAATCAGAATGAGACAACTATTGAAGAGAGAGGAAAGAGGAGAAATAAAAAATAAATTTTTGTACAAGTGTCACTCACTGAATGAAAGGACCATATGAAGAAGTGACTTTTTATACTTTGAATTAAGTTTTATTACATCTAACAAAAAAGCCAAGCTCAAGATATCTTGAGTTTGTATGTTTTAGAATCTAGTGAGCTTGGCAAACTGCTGTAAGTGTCAATGATATATAAACCTTTTAACTTTCTGATAACTGTTCAATGTGGACCTATAGAATGGTGAAGTATGGTCCTATTATACTTTGATGCAACGCACGAGATATAGTTTTGCCATGCCATCCATCGAACACTCCAAAACACTATAACTGTAGTCCCTCAGACGACCATGTGCATCACATATGTACTTTATGGCAGATAGTTGCTCATAAGAACTCACAGAGAAAACGAATTTTAAGGACAAAAAATAAATAATAAAAATTGATGGTCTAGTTGGAGTGAATGGTACTGATTAACCCAACTAGCCATGACAGTCTAAACTGAAGGACGGTATAGGGCACTTACCGCGATGACTGGGAGGTGTTCATTTCCCTGTGAATGAAGCCTCTACATCAGCACTTGTCTCCATTGGTGCAACTTCCGAGTACAACAACACTACTACTATGTTCTATTGGGAGAAAAAAAAAATTAATATTATCCATCAATTCATCGATTACTTGACTAGTTCAATTTAAGTCAGATAGGATCACATAAGCAGCAAAACTCTTCCTATTAAGTCTTTAACACAGCTGTGTTCTAAGGGATTCGAACTTAAGATGGGCTGAGCTGAAACAACCCCTTATGAATTGATTCATGTGCTTGGTAGTGGAGTGCTTTTGAACTTGCACTAGTTTATAATTCAGTTAACAAGGAGGGAAGACAGATTTTCAACAACTCGTTCTTATTTTGTGTGAGAAGGGGTTAGTCATAATTTGATATTATCCTTCGAAAGTCAGTGTCTTCAAACCTGACTTTAATTATGTTTGTTTTATTAATATGAAAATATCCATCAGTATAATGCAACAATAGTTAGTTCAATTATGAACAAGAACAATGATGTCATACGCAGAAAGGTATAATATGAGTCCTGAGGGATATGTTGTTTGTAAATTTGATGTGACTACCCTCTTCCCTTGGCAAGTAAAAGAACTCAAGATGTGGATTTGTCTCTTTTGAACAACCAAACGACAACAGTAACAAATTTTCTGATGGATGAGGATTACAAACAGGTTAGTAGCTGGCGAATCAAACTCACAAGAGCATTCAAGTGTCAAATTATATTACCTTTGTTCTTTCCAAATATCAAAGTTGACACCAACTAATCCCACATATGACTATAGCCAATGAGCCAAGAACCATTAGTTATAGGTTGCATTTGATACATGTCCCTTGCATTACCTTTTGTCCACTTCTTCAACTATTTTACAAAAATTAAACGAAACACAAAAAATATTTTATTGTATTGTCGTTTATCTTTTTAACAAATCAAACGTATATCTCTTTTAAAGTTTAAATCGAGCATCAACACTTACCTTTGTAGCACTGAAAGTAATGACTCTGAAACAAATCTAAATACCAAAAAATTAAAGCATATATAGGAAAGAAATCCAGCATATCACTCTGAAGTTCTCCATTGGATAATGGAGAAAATACTAATCATTCTACTTCATAAATATTCATCTATTTCCAGTTAGAATAATGGGGGGAAAATGCAACTAAAAGTTACCAAATTTCTCAAACTTATAATACTAATCACTATAGCATTGTTTTTCTTCACTGAGTTGACTCTCAAATGGTGACTAGTAGCCCTTTTGCATGTACTTACCAGCTGATTGGGTATTTTTCCAAGCAACGGTGGCATAAACCAAGATAAAGCAAGGGATGACACATAAACACAGAGCTACCTCAGTTGAAGGTTCTGGTTGCATGTATAGAGGGAACAAGAGAACTGCTAAGAGAAGATGCAAGATAAACAACACTAGAGCCAATGTCTTGTTATCTCTAAGGCTCATTTCTTCTCAGAGGAAAGCCAAAACCACATTGAAGAGGTAGAGAAAGAAACCTCTTTTAAGGACTTGGCTCAATGTTGAGTATCTTATCAGGTTGTTGGATAATTATGAAGGTAAAGCTAGTACCAAAGCTGCTTCTATGCTTTTCTCTGCTATGCTTTTAATTTTGTTGCAATGCATTTCCTTGATTGGGTGCCCTCTCTTCATTCTTCAGCACAACATGACTCCTCTCAAACAAGTAATTAAAGAAACTTTTTTATGGCTTCTGCGTCAGTTTCACATGGGATGGGTTGTTTACCATAGTTGGACTTGTTTCGGGATCAACTTGCCTTCTGTTATGTAGTTTGTGCTCTTCTTATTGGCTTTTTTATCCATACAATGCAAAATGAGAAACATTTCACCTATTTAATTATTTTGGCAAACTATTTACAAATTTAATGCAAGTGAAACGCGTGTGAAAATATGTGTTCGAGTCGCGCATCATCCTTCTGCATAACTTGTGCAAAAATCAACATATGTTTGTTACGTGTCGCAATCTACAAGATGCATGTCACTCGTGTCGCAATCTACAAGATGCATGTCACTCCCATGCACATTCAAGTCACGTATATCCCATATGCAATTTGCATGTGTGACACATGACAAACGCACACTAACTTTTGCACAAATCGCATATGAAATAATGTATGACTTGAACGCGCACACCTTATAAATAGTTTGGCAAAATAATTAAATAAATAAAATATTTATAATTTTATGTTGAATGGGTCAAAACTCCCTCCTTATTTTAGGTAGAATTTTATTATTTTTTTTGGTAAACATTTTAGGTAGAATTTTAATACACTTTGATATTTGATAATCAACTATTTTTTAATTGAGACCTTGTATAACTAAAAAAAAGAAAGCTTTTGCTTAACACTGACAAATTATAGAGTTATAAAAAATAGCCAGTGATAAAATATTTATATTGACATAATAGCCAGTGGCTATACATTCCATAGAAAAATAAAATAAAAAAAAGTAATACAAAAGTGGCACATCTCTAGAAATATTTAAAAAAAAAAAAAAGTTATTTACAAACCATTTTCTAAAGCTCATGATTGACTTCAACCACGGCTACAAGGCTAAGAATCACTCTGAAGATAGGCTACCATTATCATGATGAGTGATGACATTGTCTCCACTGGTATTACGTATTAACCATGTCGAGTGTGAACAAAAAAGCCACTTGCTGAAGCAGAAATTATTGACTCTCGTTATCTATCATGGTAGACAAGGTGCAACATATGTGCCATCTGCAAAATATGCTATAGTATATTAAGACCAGTAAAATCAGCTCCACTTCAGATTAATCACGATAACCCTGCCCCAGAGAAAATGAACACAAACAAATTACTTGAAAGATAAAAAAAAATAGAGACCATGCACACTGGTAATTCCATAACAAAAGACCAAAAGAGGTGCTAACCCGTAAGCAACATGAAAAGAGAAAATGTCTCATTTATATAAACTTCTGAGGCTCATTGTTGGAATACAAAGTCTCCTCGATCATCCTAATTACAACACTTAGACTGGCACCGCTTTCCAATGCTTTAACAGCAGCTCGGTGTGCAGCTCTATGCCATTTGAGCAAATTATAAGATTGCAAAACTGACCATCTTGCTTGATTAGACATCTGCTCAATGCAAGAACATGAAGGTTCATAGTTTAGTATCACAGATGAAAAAGAAGCTATCAAACCAGAGGCATCAGTTGTGGAAAGACCTCAGCTACAGACAATGGAGGCTCAAGAAGAAGACAGATGCTTCTAAATAGATTTTCATCATTTTCTCCACCCTCTGCCTCACCATAAACAAGAGCTTCAGCCGCAATGCCTGCAAAAAGTACCATGCAGTACCTAAAGCATTGATTACATAAGAAATCAGTATCACTTGAAAGGCTCAGAAAAAAAAAAACAGAAGTAAAGAAAAACGAAGAAAGTTAAGAAAAATATAAAACAGGCAAGGGGGGAACTGGACACAGTCCAAAGCTTACAGGCAATAAGTTGTTTCTTTTTGGTATATCCATCAAAGCCGAGCTAGTTAGGCCAGACAGCAAGTTTTTAAGCGAATACAGAGATACTGACTAGATTTGAAATAGGATACATGAATTGATAACTGAAGAAGCTAGAGTTAGGAATAAAATCTTTAACTTCACTTTTATAGTTCTACACTTCTACTAACCTAGGGAATAATAGCTTAGGAGGATGTACAGACACGGACCACACCTTTTACCTCTGGGTTAAAGGAGATGTCAAACTTTGAAAGCAAGGATGAATTGGAAAGTGTGCTTTCTAAATTCTAAGAGAACTGTACTACTATTGAACTCAATTTATTTGACTAAAGTCATCTAAACAACTATCACAGAGTAAATCTACCCAACCAGTGCACCATTCAATCATACAAGTAACTCTTTAATCAGTGCTTGATTCAACTTATATCACCGAAACTATTATGTAATACCCACCTGTCAAAAGCTGTACCATCAAGTCGGCCTTCGGCAAGGTCGTTGGCAACTTTCTCGTCCCAAAACTGAGTCCCTGCCTAAAAAACAAGGATTTACTGCAACTAAAATGATGTTAAATACTTAATGGAAAAGCTTATTGAAAATAAGGAAGCATATTATGGAAATAAAAATTAATGGAGAATAACAGGAATAAAATCTAGACTTATAACTTGGAAGCATACAAGTGTAAGCAAATACAAATAATCCATTATTGATGACATTGCTGCATGACCACTGAACTCATCCATGAATTAATCTGTCTTAAGTCAATTTTCAAGAAACAACAGAAATTATACTAGTACTAGTATTAATGAATGAAAATATTCAGTCATATTCTGCACGCAAACAATCATACCCTGCAGTGAATGTGATAGGATCCCTCTTAAGGTGTATAGTAGAAAGCGTCACAGGGGATCAAATCTCAAGGCTGACTCAGAGGAAAGAGGGAATATTGTAACTGTTGGTGCTGAGGCTGATGGAAATTCTGTTAGCGAGGAGGTAGTGCGTGTGGAGCATGGTGCTGAGGTGTAATAGGGCCTTATATGGTTATATAAACGAGGAAAGCAAAGCATGAAGGAGGCTGGCAAATTGGGAGTTCTTGGGAGAGAATCAGTGCCTCTTTAATAGCATTGAATTTACTTGTAAAGAGTTTTAGTATTTCTTTTTCTGCATTTAGAATTGAAAGTCTGTAAGTTGAATATTTTCCTTGCTGTTATATATATATCAGAAAATCCAGATTACTGGGCCAAAAAGCCTTTGTTTGTTGCGTTAATACTCTGATTACATTGCCAATCTTATCAACTGGTATCAGAGCACTCCGGTCCTTGGGATGTTTTGAATGGTTGTTACCCGTAACATGGATAATCGCTTGGAAGTTGTGGAAGAACGTTTGAGGAGGATGGAGACGTTAGCTGAAGAACGTCACGAACAAAATGACCAGAGGCTAAATGAGATCTTAGCCTTACTACAACGTAACCCCCGTCATCGAGATCGAACTGGTAGGGATGGCAGTCCGCGCCGGGGTCGTTCTCGCCGGAGAAGCACGGAATCCACTGATTCTGACTGGCGAAACCTACTTGGGGGAGGACCTTCGCGTCAGCCTAGATTGGAACTCCCTCGATTTTCTGGAGATGATGTGTTCGCGTGGGTAACCAGGGTGGAACGATACTTCTTGGTCAATGCAATTCCAGAGAGGGCGAAATTAGACGTGGTCATGGTCATCCTGGACGGACCAGCTCTAAATTGGTTCTTTGTTTGGGAACGTGGCAATCCCAACGCGTCTTGGGAAGATTTTCGAATCAACGTGATGGACCGGTTTCAATTGGAGTTAACAGGGAGCCCATATCAAGAATTGATGAATTTAAAACAAACAGGAAGCGTTGCAAACTTTAGGGCTGAGTTAGAAAGAATAATCAGCCCTATTCATTATGCAGATGAGGCTATGTTGAAGGAAATTTGGTTGCATGGGGTTCATGGCATCCTTCGTACTGAACTGATGCAAGCTAATATTGTCTCCTTGTCCGATTTGATGAGGAAGACGATGAGCTTGGAGAGAAGGAATTCATCGTGGGTTCAGGATGGGTTGGGTTCGTTGGGTTTTGGACGGACAAGTGCTATGGGCCGCTCACATCAGCCCATGAAGGGTCTCTTTAATGAGTCACATGCCAAAGGTGTGACCACTAATGCCACGTCCACGCCAGGTGTCAGCCATCGAGCTTCTCCAACAGTTCAGAACGACGTGCGTTTAGGTCACGCAAACCCTACACGTTCTCATAACGTGGGTGTTGAGGGAGATTCCAGAACTCTTGAAGCTTCGGGTAGCAACCACGTCGGTGGAGGTGGACGACTCAGTCAGGCGGAGCTTCATGATCGAAGCCATCTGGGTCTCTGTTTCAAGTGTGGGGAGAGGTGGGATCGCAACCACCGTTGCCGGAACGCTCACCTGAGGTTGTTGGTCGTTGAGGAAGATGACGAGTTGGACGAACCAGAGGTCTCACTGCCAGTCGAGGTGCGAACAGAGCTCTTACAGCCGATTGAGGAACCACAGCCGTTAGAAGCGGCGATCTTACAACTCTCCGTCTACAGTGTCTTAGGGCTTTCTTCAAACCAAAGTATGCAGCTGTGGGGTACGGTGAACGGTGAGAAGGTGACGATGCTAGTTGACAGTGGTGCGACTTATAATTTCGTCAGTCGACAGGTGGCTGAACGTTTGAAGCTCACCATTGAAGATTCCTACAGCTTTAAGGTCGTGCTCGGAAATGGTCATAAGGTGGGCAGCCAAGGTGTGTGCCGTCGTGTGACGTTGCAAATTCAAGAGTTTCAAACGACATAAGACTTGTTCGTTTTTATTTGGGAGGGGCAGAGGTGATTTTGGGCATGGAATGGCTGAGGAATTTGGGGGAAATCGCGGCTGACTTCAACAAGTTCACGTTGAAGTTTAGTGGTGGGGGAAACGCAATGGTCCTCCACGGTGACCCTGCTCTGTCGCGTAAGGGAGCTTGGGCATCTTTGCGTTCAATGGTGAAAACATTAAAGGACAGCAGTCAAGGTTGCATTGTTGGGCCTCAGTGGGTTCAAGGAGAGTCAGCAATAGCACCTGTAAACTGGACTGAGCTTTCTTTGCTGCTGAGAGAATTTGATGACATTTTCCAACAACCCCAAGGCCTACCCCCTCACAGACGCCATGATCATGCTATTGAGTTGAAACCTGGGAGTGGGGTGCCAAACATGCGTCCTTACAGGTATCCTTACTACCAAAAATCCTTGATTGAATCATTGGTTTCTGAGTTGCTCACTGCAGGGATAATAAGACCAAGTATCAGCCCTTATTCGAGCCCAGTAATTCTGGTACGGAAAAGGACGGCAGTTGGAGAGTTTGCGTGGATTATAGGGCTCTCAACAAGCTCATAGTGCCAGACAAGTTCCCAATTCCGGTTATTGAAGAACTTTTGGACGAGTTAGGAGGTTCCAGTGTTTTCTCCAAACTAGATCTCAAGTCTGGTTACCACCAAATCAGAATGAGAGAGGAGGACATACCCAAGACGGCGTTTCGGACCCATGAGGGTCATTACGAGTACTTGGTGATGCCCTTTGTGCTCACCAATGCACCGTCAACCTTCCAATCACTGATGAATGAGATACTGAAGCCACATTTACGCAAGTTTGTGCTGGTATTCTTCGACGACATCTTAATTTACAGTCACAATCTGGATGAGCATTTACAGCATCTCCGGTGTGTCCTGAGTATCTTGAGGCAGCATAGATTGGTGGCAAATAAAAAGAAGTGTAGCTTCGGGCAGATGCAAATTGAATACCTAGGTCACTTAATCTCAAAGGAGGGAGTGAAGGCCGATCCTTCCAAGATTGCAGCCATGTCTCAATGGCCTAGTCCTACAACCTTAAAGGGGCTGAGAGGATTCTTGGGTTTAACAGGCTACTATAGGAAGTTCGTCCAAGGATATGGTCAAATTGCAAAGCCCTTAACTGACTTGTTAAGGAAGGATGCCTTCCTTTGGAGTAATGAAGCCCAATCAGCATTTGAGCTGTTAAAGGATGCCATGTGTTCCGTTCCTGTTTTAGCAATGCCTGACTTTGGTAAAACGTTCACTGTAGTCACAGATGCATCAGGAAGGGGAATGGGAGCAGTGCTTACTCAGGGGGATCGTCCTCTCAGCTATATCAGTCAGGCTTTCTCCTTAAGAGCATTGGAAAAATCGGTTTACGAAAAAGAATTAATGGCAATTGTATTTGCCGTTCAAAAGTGGAGACCATATTTATTGGGTAGGCATTTCATCATCAAAACTGATCAGAAAAGCTTGAAATTCTTGACTGACCAACGAATGCTAGGAGAGGAGCAGCAAAAATGGGTATCCAAACTTCTAGGGTACGACTTTTGAGATTCATTATCAATCGGGTAAGGAAAATAAAGTTCTGATGCTTTATCCCGCAATCTGCAATGCTTCTCCCTCTCTTGTGTGGATGTTAGCAAGTATGATGTGTTGGAACAGGAATTACAAGAGGATACCAGAATGAGAGGAATTATTCAAGACTTAGTGGCCAATACTCAGTCTCACGATGGATTCAGCCTCAACGGAGGCCGCTTATATCACCAGGGCAGATTGGTGTTAGCCAAGAATTCCAATTTCATTCCAATGGTGCTGCATGAATTTCATGATTCGTATGTTGGAGGACATTCGGGGTTCCTGAGGACTTTGAAAAGAGTTAACAGTTTAGTGTATTGGGAGGGCATGAACAAAAAAATAAAGGAACATGTGGCTGCTTGCTCAGTGTGTCAACAAAACAAGGTGTCCACATTATCTCCCGCAGGGTTGCTACAACCATTGCCCATTCCTACAAGTGCTTGGACTGATCTGTCCATGGATTTTATAGGAGGACTACCCAAGGCCCACGGTTATGACACTATTTTCTTGGTAGTGGACCAACTTTCTAAATACGCACATTTTATCCCTCTCAAGCATCCATATACAGCCAAGGTAGTTGCTCTTTTATTCATCAAAGAAGTAGTCAAACTTCATGGGTTTCCAACGTCCATAGTCAGTGACAGAGACAAAGTTTTTCTTAGCTCTTTTTGGTCAGAATTGTTTCGTTGTAGTGGTACCAAATTGAAATATAGCACATCTTATCACCCACAATCCAATGGCCAGACGGAGGTAGTAAACCATTGCTTGGAAGATTATCTAAGATGTTTTTGTTCGCCTAGACCCAACACATGGTCATCTTGGTTGCATTGGGCAGAATTTTGGTACAACACTACTTTTAAGACCGCCACTGGCACCAGTCCGTTCAAGGCAGTGTATGGCTGTGAGCCCCCTACACTATTTCGGTCCAGCTTTGCTATATCTCCCGTAGATGTAATTTCCACCATGCTACAGGACCGAGACTTAATTTTACAGGAGCTGCAGCAACACCTTTTAATTGCTCAGAGTAGGATGAAGGCCCAGTCAGATCAGCATAGACGAAATGTGGAGTTTCAGGTAGGTGACAAAGTCTTTCTCAAGCTTCAGCCATATCGTTTACGCTCCCTTGCAAAAAAATTAAATGAGAAGCTTAGTCCGAGATTTTATGGACCCTATGAAATGGTGGAGCGGGTTGGGGCTGTAGCATATCGGTTATTATTACCGGCGGAATGTAAAGTCCATGATGTCTTTCATGTCTCAGTTCTAAAAAAGGCTCTTTCATCCACGGATACAGTGCAGCCTCTTCCTCCTATGCTGAATGAAGAATGGGAACTCAGTGTTCAACCGGAAGCTGTCCTGCAGTGGAGACAAAATGCCATTGGACGTGTGGAGGTCTTGATCAAATGGTTAAAGCTCCATGCTTTTGAAAATTCGTGGGAAGATTCAGCTCAAATTGATTTTCAATTCCCTGAATTTCACCTTGGGGACAAGGTGAATGTTTTAGGGGGGAGTATTGATAGGATCCCTCTTAAGGTGTATAGTAGAAAGCGTCACAGGGGATCAAATCTTAAGGCTGACTCAGAGGAAAGAGGGAATATTGTAACTGTTGGTGCTGAGGATGATGGAAATTCTGTTAGAGAGGAGGTAGTGCGTGTGGAGCATGGTGCTGAGGTGTAATAGGGCCTTATATGGTTATATAAACGAGGAAAGCAAAGCATGAAGGAGGCTGGCAAATTGGGAGTTCTTGGGAGAGAATCAGTGCCTCTTTAATAGCATTGAATTTACTTGTAAAGAGTTTTAGTATTTCTTTTTCTGCATTTAGAATTGAAAGTCTGTAAGTTGAATATTTTCTTTGCTGTTATATATATATCAGAAAATCCAAATTACTGGGCCAAAAAGCTTTTGTTTGTTGCGTTAATACTCTGATTACATTGCCAATCTTATCAGAATGATTAAATCATTAAAATAAAAAAAAAGACTTTCTTCCTTATTTGTTCTTTCTCTTCAGTTAAATTACCTTATTAGTTAGCCTTCATTTTACTCACAGATGCACTGTTCAATATAGAGAAGAGGACACCAGAAACAAAATTTATAGGCAAATCTTCAAAATTTTGTACCATGAAAAAACTCACAGAAGCATCTCACCAACAATTATATATGTCTAAGCATTAAAAAGAGGGATAGTAGTAGAGCAGTAAACAGACTTTGCGCAAAAAGTATTTTTTGTATCACCTAAATGGGTGTTTCATTACATCCCCAAGTACATTGAACTAAGGTAGTTGAGATTTTTGTCATCAAACTGATGATGGATAAACACAATACTAGCAGAGAGGACAAAGGGAAAAATGAGGGAAATCTAGAGATAGAAAGGGGCAAAGGATGGAGAGAGAACGGAGAACAGAGATAATAACTCAATAACAATACCAAGCATTTAACTTGAAATGACAAATGCATCAAATATTCAAAAGAATAACATACTAGGAGACTACCAATAGGAACCATCTGAACAAGTAAAATGTCATATCAATAATAAAAGAGGAAAAAATACCTGTCCTTGAACGCCCATTTGCATTGCAACTATTGGGTCTAAAATCACCCCCCGTATTGGGCAACCCATCAGGTAAGCTGAAATTTTATTAAGATGGTCCTTGTAAGATGATGGGGAATCAAACATGATGCAGAACTAATATCCCCAATAAATGACCTCTAAAGTCCATAAAATACAATGGTATTTACCTGTTAGGAGATGCCCTGCCTCGTGAATTATGATTCGACGCTTATATGGTGGCCAGTAACTTGAGATTTGAGCTAAACAGGTACCACCCAGGAATATAGAATCTGCAATGGCTAGACCTAATATCACTGCAAGGTTGGGTCTGAGATCAATTCCTTGTGAAATAAGAAAGGACACTCCGCCAAGAAAAGCAGCCAAGACAGTGCTTGAACCATCTGAAAGACCCCACTTCTTTGGAGCAAGTTTAGTCACTGTACAAAAGAAGGAAGGAAAATTATATTGTATAACCGTTTTTCAGCGGCATAGAATTGTATAAAATTCTATTCATTCCAATATAACATGACTGAAACTGAGACTTTGAGCAATTTACAGCTAGGAGGAAAATGTCCTGCCAGAAATTCATATGTGCACCTTCCAAACCAGTTGAGGAGCTCAAGACATCCGGTGTTACGTTCCTCGGTCCCTCCAAAACTATACAAGATGGACATCAGAAAAAGGGAAAAAGGGATAGACGAAAAAAAGCTTCATCAGAGTTTACACTATAACTGTTAAGTGATGAGGAAACAAGAGACGTAATGTAATCCGTGTGTCTCAATTACATAACGGAATACAAAAATTACAAAGAGAATAATAAACACGCGGGACTTCATTCCTCACAGTATACTACTGTATTTACAATATTCACAACAATAACAGAGAATGATTATGGAAAGTGGAAACAACCAACAAGGAAAAAAAGTCATATCAATTTGGTAAAATTCAAAAACACATGTAGCCATAAAAGATTGCTTTAATTTACTCATAGAGCCAAAAATCCATTCTAATCAGATGCTGAGAAAAGAAACTCTCAATTTTTCTAAATACATAATATATATGAATGACAGCTAGAATACTAAATATACAACTCAACAGATCCCATCCCAACAGAAAACAAATAAAGCACAACTCCTGAAGGAAAATTCACACAATATAGTAATTAAAAAAAGAAAAAAAAACCCTGAAAACGGACAGTCCCTGATGTAATGATAACAACAGTCATAGTAGGAGATGCACCAATAGCATTAATGGGCACACACATGTAACCAAGACTACGCTTCCTACTTTCAAAATCTCAACTAAAATTGTCAAGGCCTAAAAGTTTAAGGAGTTGAATGAAGGCTGGTGATTGGTTTTATATCTAACACACCACTCTACCTTGTGCTGAAATTTGAATGGGAGCGGCATGGAGATCACTTGATCACATTCTTCAGCTATGTTTGGATATCTAATAATGGGCGAAATGGAACGAAATAGGATAGGATGGGTGAGATGGAATAAAATTCCGTTGTTTAGAAAGAAAATGGAATGGTAAAGAAATAAGTCAATAATAAGTTAATTCTATCCAATACATCCCAAATTGGGGGGGAAGAAAAACTGAGATAATAGATGAAATAAGATAGAATAAATCCCACCATGTTCCGTTTCATTCCATTCATTTTTAAACAATCGAAAAATGCCATTCAATTCCATTCCCCACTATTCCATCATGATCCACTCATCCAAACATAAGCTTAAGATGACATGTGATAATCTAACAAAAATCAAATTATTGAAGCTATGATCCAATTTTAACAAAGTTTCACTATTGCATCCTTTCTATACCAAAAAAAAAAAAGGTTTAAACTATGTTCCCGTCCACTTTGAACAACCCAAATGATAAAAAGCAACAATTTTTATTCCTTGCTGATAAGAAGAAGAAGAAGAAAAGATGAAAACTCACCAATGTTCCTGCATTTACCAAAATTGGGTAAGAAACCCCTGTCCCTGAGGAACTTGTAAGCGTTCGCAACAAGCTTCATGTCATCAGCATTCAAGCACGTGTCCAGAACCTCCCAATCCCTCTGTGGACCGTACAGCTCCAACTCGCGGAACCGTGACCGAGTCGACTCGTCGAAAAACGGCTCAACTGGGTTTTCGGTTTCCACGGATTTCAGGAACCCGAGAGCTCCGGCGAGGTCCTTCCGCTTCACTGCCTCCTCGTACTCTCGCCATCCTCGGAATGCTCTGTATCGTTGGGAAGGTTTTCGAGTCGCGGGAGGGAAAGTGCGAGAAAATCCGAGGGAAAATTGAGGGCAGGTGAGAAAGGGAGGGAAAATTTGGAGACTGCAGGAAACAATGTTGTGAATAGCCATGAAATGAAACTACGAAAAATCTAAACTTTCTGGGGAATGATTTTATTTTTTTCTTTTTATGCAGAACCAAATCCAAACCGCATTATAATAGAGAATTTTAATTTTTGTTTTATTTTATTTTATTTTTTGAATTTTCACATCTAGATGAACGGGTGTAATAGGTATTATATAATTCAAACCGAATTTTAAATCAACCGAACTATATTGTAAATAATTACATTTTTTTTTTGGTAGGCTGGAATAAAAAACCAGCAATTACATTTTTTTTAACTCAGGTTTAGAATGGAACTGCTTTTTTGAACTAATTTAAAAATCAATTTATTTTTACTAGAACAGTCGGTTTAAGAACTATCTAAGCTAAATAAGTATGAAATGATTACAATATTTGTTCTTTCAATCTGTTTTCCATAAAATTCTAATATTGGTGTAAAAAATTGTAATACGCTGGAAATATGGATTAAAACATTGATATTTGGTCAAAATTATTAGTTAATTTTTTTAAAGCAGAAAAGTGCAACAATTTAATGTAAGAAATATGAGTAATTAAAATAGGAGAGAAAAAAAATAAGGAATTTCTTTTAAATGACATTGAATTATGTCATTTTAATCAAAATTATAGGATAAGTTATAATGTTATATTTACAAAAGTTTTGTTTACAAACTAATCATATACTCCACGGAATACAAACAATTCAGAGTACATACTTTAGTGTTTGTACTCCCTAAGAGTATATAATATAATTTATATAAGTTTGTAAATAAAAAATTTATAAATATAATCATGCGAAAAACTATTGTGTTTTATGGAGAGAGAAACAGAAATCATGGTAGGAGAAAGTGGAAGTTTTTTCTTAATTTAAATATTAAATAAAAAAAAACTAGTTTTAACTAAAATAAAGGATAGATTATTCGACCTACTCCCATTTTGCCTATCTTTACCTACCCCTTTCATTACCATTCAATTATAATCTAATTTTTATGCTAAAACATGATATGAAATTCATAGGTAAATTTTTTTTATAATATTATCAATATTAGGTTACAATTATTTTTTATAATATTTTTTCATATTAATAGCATTCTCTAACAATTTCTTCGATACTGGTCATAGCAGGAAGTGTACCGGCGAGTATGAAACAGGAAATGAATTATTGCTGAAGAAAATAAATGATTCTATAAATTGCTGGTCCCTCCATTCACTCTTTTTTTTCTCTCCCTAATTTACAGTCTAAAATTAAATTAACCGATTGCAAATTTTTATAAGAGTAAATATCTTTTTTGGTCCTCAGCAAATTTCACGATTCGAATTTTAGTCCCTAGCAAATAAAAAACTATTTGTGGTCCCTAAAAAATTCAAAATGGACCTATTTAGTTCAAATCGTGGTTTCTCACAAATTAAAAAAAAAAACCATATTAGTCTCTCAAAAGGATTAAAATGAGTCCATTTTTAATTTCTTAAGAACCATGAAAAACCTTTTTATGTATGGAGACTAAAGCGACAACGGTCCATATTTGCAAAATAAAATAAACTTTTTTTTCTCTTTCTTTCTCCTCACTTCCTCCCACACCCTTTCTCTCTTCCTCTATGCCATACCGAAGACATTTTTTTTTTCCTTTATCGCTAGTATCTGCCGCCGTGAACCTCTTTAACCCCGTATCCTCTCCAACTCCATGTTAAGTGAGAAGCTTTGCAACTTCAGAAAAAGAATTGGAAAAAAAAAAACCTTCCTTTTTCTGCAACTCTATCCAAAGCGGCGGTGCCACAAGGTGGGTTCTTATGCGAATTGCTTGTGCGAAACGGGTTTATCCATGATTCCTTTTTCTGCAACTCTATCCATGATTCCGAATTGCTTGTGCGAAATGGGTTTATCCATATAATTTTAGCATGTTTCAAAGAACAGTGTACTTCAATAAAGCAGCTCTAAGGTTCTGTAATTTAGCTTCTTTTCATTCTTTTTGAATTGTTTCCAAGAATATTTGGCTCTGCTTCTTAAACCTTGTGACTGTAACTAAACAAATAAAAACTCAAAGAAATATGTAATTTTAGCATGTTTCATGTGAACTTCTTCAAAACCAATTCAATAACTCGTGGTTCAATTTTGATTTTTATTCCTGATCATAGATACGTTTAATTGAATTCTGTAATTTTTGGCTTATATTTTTGGCCATTCAAATTTCATCCTCAAGTTTGGTCCAATGTCATTAGTCACTATACTTCCGTTGCACTATGCCTAACCTATTATGTAGAACTTCACAATAACATTAAAAATAACAAAAAAATAAGTTCTTCAACCTCCCCTTCCACCCCCTCGTAGTTATACAAAATTGTCAGATTTGTTGAGTAAGATTGGGACTTCAAAGTCGGGGCAACAACTTTGGCTAGAACAGTGATGGAGAGGGTGGGGGGTTAAAGAGGTCCACAACGGCAGACACCAGCGATGAAGGAAAAAAATGTCTCTGTTATGGCGCAGAGGAAGAGAGAAAGGATGTGGGAGGAAGTGGAGAGAAAGAAAAGGGAAAAAAGGGTTTATTTTATCTTGCAAATATGGACCGTTGGATTAGATTATAATCAAACGGTAATGAAAGGGGTCGGCAAAGGTAGGCAAAATGGGAGTAGGCAGAATAACCTATCCCTAAAATAATTATCATTTAAAAGGACAAATATTTTCTCCAAAAAACAAATATTTCATTAGAGAGAAAAAGGAAACAACTCATTTACTCATTCAAAAGAGAGAGAAAAATGCATAAAACTGAAAATACCTATACAAAAAGTGAAAAATGTAACAGGCCGTTACGGACCGAAAATGTTATCATTGCATATGGTATTAAGCGCAGTTACAATCACAATAATTGAGTTAATGAAATTACGGGTAAACTTTATTTTAATACATCATTAACTTTAAACCAGTAACCATTTTCGTAACTAATTAAAATAACGCTGTAATTGTAAATGCAAAACTCGCAGAAGCATAAAACATACTAATTATCATCTCTCTAAGCAATACCATTGATTTTAGATGTCAGAAAAACACATTTTTAAAATATTACACAGTGGTAATCAATTACTATTTCTTGGTAATCGATTACCAAAGGCTCCAGAATTGGACAGTAGCCAAATTTGGGCTCCCCTGTTTTGGATAGGTAATCGATTACTGAACTAGGTAATCTATTACCTATGTCAAGGCAATCGATTACTTTGAACACAGTGGCTCAATTTTGCGTCCCCTATTTCAGGTAATCGATTACCAATGAAAAGTAATCGATTATCAATGAAAAGTAATCGATTACCATTTTGTAAAAATGACAGATGACAGCTTTAAAAACACAAAATGAGTTACATAACTTACTTCTAACACCTTAATACTTAATATTCATCTTACACAAGTACTAATGTAGACTCTAGGCCCTTTCATCGTGCATATTCATTATGTAATGCATCAATTACAATAATTCCCAATATCATAGCCATTTTCCACATCAAATGATCTATTTACAACACAAGTTTTCCAATGCCTCAAAATACAAAATATGTGGCCATGGACAAGTCTCATGCTCACCCAAAATACAAATATAAACAAGAGACATAAGTGTACATCAACTACATAGACTTAGAATCTAGTAATGAACACCACAAAAGCATGGAAATCTCAACATGCGATATGTTCATGATCTAAGTCCAAAATGCTAAATATAATACTATGTGCATCAAATATGCTCCTCCAAAATGTCATGTTCTCCATATGCACATCATGCTAGAATCCTCCACTAATTGAGCCTCTTGCTCGAAGCTCCTCTATGATCACTATAGCCTGAAATGATGTCCCCAAACGCGGGGTGAGATATACAAATATATCTCAGTAAACCAAGGGTACTAGAGGATCACTCCACCCCATGGCTCACTCAATGTGCAATAATAATATCATGTAAAATGCATAACATACAAAATCACAAACAACTGGGCACAAATCCAAGAACATCCACATAAGGATTTCGTTAAAGGACCCCATCATATATCTCCCGGCAGCTTCCTGGTGCCTCTCCCATGGATGAGACAATCCCATGGAAAAACCCAACTGGAACTCCTCATGAGCCCTATACAGCGGAAGTCCCACGTTTGGATCATCCTGGTGCCGCTCCCAAAGTCGGCCCCACGGAAAAACCCGACTGGAATCCCCAAATGATATCTTCAGCGGAAGTCCAAACCAATACACATCTACTGGCCAGAGATCACAAAATTTCACACACAACATGCTCCAAGCATGTCACACAACCAAGCAATAATGCATGAACATACATATTCACACAATGTCCAAAGGCACAAAATCCAACCACAACCTTCCACTAGGTGTGGTGGAGCACACAAGGGACCAAACCCAAGTTCCAAAGGTTTACCTAAACTCCAAGCACAATGCTCCAAAACGTACGCTCTAAGTTCATATCCTTTAATCCTATAATTAATTCATATCAATGGTCCACAATTCAATTCTTCAATTTTACCACATACCAATTTCACAAAATCATCAATATCAACTCCAATTTTTACTAAGTTATAATCTTTCAAATCACCATAATTTTTATTGCATCAATCATCATCATTTATCATTCTAAGCATTTAATTCCAAAGGAGACATACCATTTAATGCTCCTAACTACCATAACTCAATTTACAACTTCAAAACCCTCATCAATATTATGATCTCCATGAAAACTCAAAGAGAATGGAAAAACTTACCACCAATTGACTCCAATGGTCCAAAGGAGTGATCTCCAACCAATGGTTCAACACAAAAAACCCCAAAAATTCCCCAAAATCCCCAAATTTTTGTGGCTGTTTTAGGGGCTTTTCTCCCTCTACAATGCTCCCCACAAGATGCACTCTACATGAAAAGTCACTCACAAGATGATGGGGAACAACTTTGTAGTTGGAAGTTTCTCTCAAAAGTGTCTAGAAAAAGAGTTAGAATTTCAAACCAACCCTAAGCCTCTCCAATGGATGTGCACGAC